TGTTACATCTCTAGTATATGTAATTTAAGGTTATTCCCTTGTTACGGGTTGAAACTAATTTAAATTTAAAAGAACATTTAAGTAATTTTTGTTATTATTTTGTGCAACTTTAACTAACAGTGCTATTTAATTTTGTAAGAGAAAATGCAGTCTTTTAAGTTTTTTTTTTTAATTTTTACTTCTTCTTTTTCTTGCACGTTAAAGGTCAATATCTAGTTTTCTATTGGTCATGAAATACTCCATTTTGTCTTAAGATTAGCTGTTTCTTTTTACTACCTCTTTCTTTTCTTTTGCTATTGAATTGGAACCTGTGCTTCCCTATTTCTCGATGAATTTTCGGATTAAATCAGCCCAAAAAGGAAGATTACCTCATTAGTTTTGATAAAAGTAATTAGTAAAGTTGCTAACACACATAGTGTATAAACTATAGATACTTTGTTATAAAACTAATATACTTATAAGCTGCTCATCACACATGGTAAGTTTTCTAGACCAAAATTCATGATCATTAATAAAGAAAGTAAATAATGATAATACATTATTGTTTTAGGCTTTTCTGTATAGGTAGTACTCATTTTTACTTTCCTATCTGTATACAGATATAAGGAAAGTATAGGAATCATGATTTTTTTCGACCTCGAGTTTTCGACGGATTTTTACGTTTTGAGGTCCCCTGAATCCGTTTTGACTATTTTCGCGATGATGTCTGTGTGTGTGTGTGTGTGTGTGTGTGTGTGTGTGTGTGTGTGTGTGTGTGTGTGTGTGTGTGTGTGTGTGTGTGTGTGTGTGTGTGTGGGTGCGTGCGTGCGTGCGTGCGTGCGTGCGTGCGTGCGTGCGTGCGTGCGTGCGTGCGTGCGTGCGTGCGTGCGTGCGTGCGTGCGTGCGTGCGTGCGTGCGTGCGTGCGTGCGTGCGTGCGTGCGTGCGTGCGTGCGTGCGTGCGTGCGTGCGTGCGTGCGTGCGTGCGTGCGTGCGTGCGTGCGTGCGTGCGTGCGTGCGTGCGTGCGTGCGTGCGTGCGTGCGTGCGTGCGTGCGTGCGTGCGTGCGTGCGTGCGTGCGTGCGTGCGTGCGTGCGTGCGTGCGTGCGTGCGTGCGTGCGTGCGTGCGTGCGTGCGTGCGTGCGTGCGTGCGTGCGTGCGTGCGTGCGTGCGTGCGTGCGTGCGTGCGTGCGTGCGTGCGTGCGTGCGTGCGTGCGTGCGTGCGTGCGTGCGTGCGTGCGTGCGTGCGTGCGTGCGTGCGTGCGTGCGTGCGTGCGTGCGTGCGTGCGTGCGTGCGTGCGTGCGTGCGTGCGTGCGTGCGTGCGTGCGTGCGTGCGTGCGTGCGTGCGTGCGTGCGTGCGTGCGTGCGTGCGTGCGTGCGTGCGTGCGTGCGTGCGTGCGTGCGTGCGTGCGTGCGTGCGTGCGTGCGTGCGTGCGTGCGTGCGTGCGTGCGTGCGTGCGTGCGTGCGTGCGTGCGTGCGTGCGTGCGTGCGTGCGTGCGTGCGTGCGTGCGTGCGTGCGTGCGTGCGTGCGTGCGTGCGTGCGTGCGTGCGTGCGTGCGTGCGTGCGTGCGTGCGTGCGTGCGTGCGTGCGTGCGTGCGTGCGTGCGTGCGTGCGTGCGTGCGTGCGTGCGTGCGTGCGTGCGTGCGTGCGTGCGTGCGTGCGTGCGTGCGTGCGTGCGTGCGTGCGTGCGTGCGTGCGTGCGTGCGTGCGTGCGTGCGTGCGTGCGTGCGTGCGTGCGTGCGTGCGTGCGTGCGTGCGTGCGTGCGTGCGTGCGTGCGTGCGTGCGTGCGTGCGTGCGTGCGTGCGTGCGTGCGTGCGTGCGTGCGTGCGTGCGTGCGTGCGTGCGTGCGTGCGTGCGTGCGTGCGTGCGTGCGTGCGTGCGTGCGTGCGTGCGTGCGTGCGTGCGTGCGTGCGTGCGTGCGTGCGTGCGTGCGTGCGTGCGTGCGTGCGTGCGTGCGTGCGTGCGTGCGTGCGTGCGTGCGTGCGTGCGTGCGTGCGTGCGTGCGTGCGTGCGTGCGTGCGTGCGTGCGTGCGTGCGTGCGTGCGTGCGTGCGTGCGTGCGTGCGTGCGTGCGTGCGTGCGTGCGTGCGTGCGTGCGTGCGTGCGTGCGTGCGTGCGTGCGTGCGTGCGTGCGTGCGTGCGTGCGTGCGTGCGTGCGTGCGTGCGTGCGTGCGTGCGTGCGTGCGTGCGTGCGTGCGTGCGTGCGTGCGTGCGTGCGTGCGTGCGTGCGTGCGTGCGTGCGTGCGTGCGTGCGTGCGTGCGTGCGTGCGTGCGTGCGTGCGTGCGTGCGTGCGTGCGTGCGTGCGTGCGTGCGTGCGTGCGTGCGTGCGTGCGTGCGTGCGTGCGTGCGTGCGTGCGTGCGTGCGTGCGTGCGTGCGTGCGTGCGTGCGTGCGTGCGTGCGTGCGTGCGTGCGTGCGTGCGTGCGTGCGTGCGTGCGTGCGTGCGTGCGTGCGTGCGTGCGTGCGTGCGTGCGTGCGTGCGTGCGTGCGTGCGTGCGTGCGTGCGTGCGTGCGTGCGTGCGTGCGTGCGTGCGTGCGTGCGTGCGTGCGTGCGTGCGTGCGTGCGTGCGTGCGTGCGTGCGTGCGTGCGTGCGTGCGTGCGTGCGTGCGTGCGTGCGTGCGTGCGTGCGTGCGTGCGTGCGTGCGTGCGTGCGTGCGTGCGTGCGTGCGTGCGTGCGTGCGTGCGTGCGTGCGTGCGTGCGTGCGTGCGTGCGTGCGTGTGTGTGTGTGTGTGTGTGTGTGTGTGTGTGTGTGTGTGTGTGTGTGTGTGTGTGTGTGTGTGTGTGTGTGTGTGTGTGTGTGTAACGCATAACTCATGAACCGATACACAGAAAAACACCAAATTTTAAACTTAAGCTTTGTTTCAGCGTCCAATGAGCTGATTAGATTTTGGGCAGAGTCGGAACATCTGGGGGGGGTACTTTATAGGTGGTCATTTTTATATTTTATGGAATATATCTGTTTGGAGAAGAAAATTCTTTAAATAAAAGTTACTTCTAATATAATTATCTATAATTTTTGTTTCATGCAAAATTTTCCTAAAATGGTCCGTATTCGAGAAATTTGACAAAATGTAAAAAAAAATTATTTTTTATAAAAATTGTTCAAATAAAAGTTGTTTGTAATATAACTTTCTATAATTTTTATCCTATACATAATTTCTCTAAAATGGACCGTATTCGAGATATTTGAGAAAATGTGTAAATTTCGAAATTTGAAGAAAACTCAAAAACGGATAAAGGAAAAAACATTAAATTTTAAACTTAAGGTTTATTTCGGCCTGACGTGAAATGTTTAGATTTTGGACAAAGTCGGAACATCTGGGGGGGTACTTTATGGGAAGCCGTTTTTATATTTTATGGAATATATCTGTTATTTATGTTTGGAGAAGAAAATTGTTCAAATAAAAGTTACTTCTAATATTATTATCTATAATTTTTGTTCCATGTCAAAATTTCCTGAAATGGTCCGTATTCGAGAAATTTGACAAAATGTGCAAAATTCTGATTTTTATGAAAATTGTTGAACTAAAAGTTATTTGCGATATCGATTTCTATAATTTTTGTTTATATATGATTTTTCTAAAATGGACCGTAATGGAAAAGTGCTAAATTTAAATTTTTCTGTATTTTCGTTTTCAATGAATATCTATAGAAAAATGTTTCGAGGTAGATGTATGTGTAAAATGTATATATTTAGTTTATCCTCTAAACATTTATAGAGATGCTGCAATAGGTTGTACAAAATAACCGGAAAATGCCTATAATAACTAGATAGGAAAGTCATGTGTTGGACACATCAGATTTTTATAGTAACCTATGGATTTCTTTACAGCTTAGTAGTTTCTTGCCTTGCTTCTTCGCTACCTGCTTGGCTTCTGACCTTTCTGCTTAGCCTTATAGCTAAATAGCTTGTCTATCCTGTTAAGCTTAGGATTGTAGGAAAATACCTGGAACCTCTCTAACATGATGACAAAAATTGGTAATAGAGAATCCTACTTCTAGAGACGCTGCTGGAATCAATATTAATAAAAGTAAGAACTTTCCATTGTTTAAATTATTGTCACATACGCAAAATTAGAAACTAGCAAATATATAAAAGAAAACGTCAATATATGTATTGTTTTAAATAAAATTTAACTTATCTTACATAAACGATTAGTACTAATCGGGCTTCATAGTCAAGTTGTACAATTTATTATTTACTCGTTATCTTCCGGCAATATATAAACATAATTACCTAAATGTACATAACTCTGCCAATATTTGTCTAATATTTTGAACCCAATAGTTCTAGTTTTCTCCTGGAGGAATGGTAATAACACCTTACAGCAAGAGGAGATTGCACTGGGTTCTTTTCCAGATATAGAAATTTTCAATAACGCCTTTTCTCAGCATATGATCTCTTTCAATGAAAGAAAAGGAACTGATAAACTGACCTGCAACTGGATCAAAATTATGCTTGGATGTAACACTCATGTATTACCTCAGTTCATACTCATTCAAAGACGATTATGACCAACCCTTCTCTATAAATGGTTCTGCTCAGCTCCGTGAATGTAGTAGAAATGCTCTATGCATTCTTACGACACTAATGACAGGATATTATTATCTAGGGATCTAGGTAACCACATGAGAAGGATAGGTGAGCAAAAAACATCAAACAGTCGATTAAACAGGGTGGAAGATTAATTTAGAGAGCACATTCTAATTACTAGATCTTTGGCTACACCAAATTAGAGCACGATTTTAGACAAGTCTCACCTAACTCAACCTTAACCTTCATTAAAAGATGTTGTTTGTACAGTGTTAGGCATAAGCTACAATAGATTCATCTGAGTTGCAATGAAAGATGATGAAATCTTTAACCTAACCTATCAAAAAATAGAATGTCTAGATGGCTAATAATAATATATAGATAAAGACAAATTTAGGTTGTTTAATATACTATAATACCATTACCTACACTGCAATTTATTAATTTATTTAATGCGTTTTAATTTTTTATGTGTATTATATTACCTGTAGCGTTAACCAAAACTTGCACCAACGATCCCAGGGCACATGGAGCCATACCGGGTGGAGCAACTTCAACCAATGGCGGCAAAACTCTGAAGTAATGACCAGATTGTACTTCTTCCCTTTCGTACTTGACTATAATTTCATGCATACCAACTTTAGAAGGAACAAAAGTGCCTTGGCCTTGTTGCAGTTTATTTCCCAGAAAGATTTTGTTGTCTGGTCCGCGGATTTCGGTCGACAAATGCGAATATGATAAAGATGAGTCTAATAGAGTAACTTGATAGTAGGTCTGGAAAAAAATACGAAATATATTATAAATAATTATTGATCTACATTGCTTATTATATTTTTTCCACACCCACATGGATATTAGCTAATCTACGCACAGATTACAAAATGAAAAAGTATGATATTGCGTTCAACTGAACGAATATATTTCATATTCATTCTAGGTAGTGAAAACACTGCAAAAAATCAAATCCACCATTCGCAGTTCATATTTTGGCACCCATATACTAATAATTCTAAAATTTTAAATAAGTACTTAGATTAAAAATCTAAAGGTCTGTTCCAACACGCGCTAAAACTGTAATATTATCGTACAAATCATGCACTGTGTACAATTTTTGCGTAGAGCGCATTATGTGTACGGTAACATTACAGTTTTGTTAGTGAGTGGTAGATAAAATATATTGTACAACTCGAGTGGAGTGTCCATATCCACTCATTGCACAAACTACTATTGTGTTACTTAAACTATTAAATCTGAAATGTGATTTTTACTTTGACAAACTGCAATAAAATGACTATAAATGGCAATTATATGTATATAAATTCATTTGTATCAGTTTAAATTTTTGTTTAAATTTAGATCATCACATGGCTGTTCCAAAGATTAGAATTGGTTGTGTACATAATTTGTAACCCCAGAAGGTATTAAAAATCAAGTTATGTCTAATAATTGTTTTCTTTTTGTCGAAGGACAGTAATACATTTTTGGTAACATGATTAAATCATTTATCACAATCTTTATGATCTTGAAAATGGATTATTATTATTATCATATAAGTACCAATATTAATTTATTAAAATGCATAATAATGTGAATAGTTATCATCATTTAATAAGACAGATTATTTAAGATATATACGATAATTTCTTTCCTTTTAATTAAAATCGCAAAACATTAGAATTTATATTAATTTAATTAAACAATTTGTTTTTTTTCTGCATTAGAAATAGTAATAGGTCTGTTATTATTTAATTAAAGGATTCGATACTAGATATTAATGAAACTAATCTGTCCTGAAGCAAATTTGCTAAGAACGTTTTTACGTTTACTCAATAGAAAAAGATGGACACTATCGGTCACTAAAACCTCCTGTCCCAAATAAAATAATTTCTAGTTTATTCCCGCGATTTCTAACAAGTCCTAATCCGCACGATACATGTGTCAGTAGAGAGTTTCTTGTCTCTATTATAAATTTTACTTTTCGTGGGTTACGAGATGTTAAAATTAGGCAGGAATTAAGCCATCGATATCGAGTGTACTTGTCGGAATCTAGGGACACAGTTTAATAGCTTTGTACATCGATTGTAATAATATGACAACTTTTCTCCAGAGCTTGTTCTTTATCTCTTTCTTTTTCAGCTCTAGCTGCATTTTTTGCCATTATGTGCCTCTTGTAGTTTTCTTCAAGTACATTTTCATTCTTAAACATGAAAAAAACATCGCACTGATCTTTTCGAGGCGAAAAATTGCAATATTCATGTTTCTTGCTATCAGCCTTAGTAAGAACATTGCGATTTTTATCTTTACATTGTTTTTGGCAAACCTTGAACTGATCGTTCGAAAACTGGAAAGTTTGCTCCAGATACAGCCGATCTGTAAGTTTTTTGCAGTAATAGGATGGCAATTTAACTTGGTTATAAATGCCTCTAGGAATTCTTTATCTTCCTTGAAGATATCTCTGCGTTTCGACCTCGAACAAACCTCAACCTTATCACTTTTTATCATCCCATTATTTGCAGATAAAGCCCAAGATCATTAACTTTCATTAAAAATATTTTTTTCTGAGAAATTATTACACAAATTTTCCAAATATGTTATTGTCTACAAATAATGTACGGGTGTCCAAATAGGAAAACAAAGCCGGCTTATAACAAAACGATTTTCATATTTTTGATAACTTCATTTTCTTAAAAGAATTTCGGAACTTTGAAATTTCGAGTTTATAAACACAATTTCAAGATCAAACTCAAAATTTTCCTTTCAAATGTAATTAAATGGAAACATTGCAAATATCGAGCCAAGTCTAAGTGGCGTTCTTTACATTTTTGTATCATTATCTTTTTAACAAAACGAGAAGCTTTTAAATTTTAAATTTATCGAAATAATCTAAAAATAAATTTAAAACGTCGTTATCAAAGTGTTTGATTTGATTTTAAAATCATCTAATTATGATATATCTTGCTTACGCTCTTATCTCAATATTTTTCTAAGAAACCACTTCAGTTCTATAGACAGACACCTATTTAAGGAGCTCATTAATTCTAACACCGTTTAGTATAGCAATCACCTGGCTAAATTCAATTTTCAGCAAAATGATCAAAATCATTGTCTTGTTAAGCGCTCTGGCTTGCGTTTATTGCGAAGGTAGGAAAAATTTATATGTATTTTTAAAATTTTTACATTTAAAGTAAATAGTGACTAGTTACGAAAAGTAACATTATTCGTAACTTGTTACAAATAGTTCGTCTCATCAACAAGTTGAATACAGGATATGAGAATAAAACAGTTTTAAAAATATTGTATCGACACAGTTTTTGAAAAGTTTATTTCCACTCTCATTCACTCATTCAATCATTTGTTCAAAAGTCTTGGACATCTATAATGTACTCATACGCGAACACGTTTAAATTCGAGAACCGAGTGTAACCATTAAAAAAGAAAAAGCAGATTCTAATATGTAGTAATAAATCCAGCTTAACTTTGATTTCAATTGATATTCAGCCTTTTCAAAGAAAGTACTTTACAATGGCTCTAAAGTCTGTTTTTTCCATTGTTTACAAAATCATAGGAGATATTTACTTTAGGGCACTGTCATAAACATAACAAAATGACAAAACTTTTGGTCCTGTAATTTTTAACCTATTTAAAGATGATTCTACAAAACGGTGAAGAAGATTCCTTCGAATTCGTGCTATCTGAGCATTAAAAGCCACATTCCTTGTATTTCTAGACAGATTTTTGTTGTTATGTAATTACTCAAGGGTTCGAATCCCACTATTAACCGAAATTCTTTTATTTAAGTAAAAAATCATTTATGATTATTACAATCTTATAATTAAAAACAATTATCAATTTTATTTTAACCTATTATAGTCTATTTTTATGTATGAGAGAGTATTAAAATAATAAAGCGTTCGTAATCCATAGGCGTACCATTTATTTTAGTAGACAGTTAAAATATTTTTATTCCTCGAGTATACACTTATATTTTCACCTAATTAACCTGCTTATAACTTCTAAACAGCTGAAGGTAAAAAAGTGCAATTTTTTCTAAAATATTTTATTTTTCCACAAGGTATGTTAAGAATATTGTGTCAAACGGGTTATGTAGGTATAAGGGTTTAAACTTTGATTTTTAAACAACGTTACGTTCATAAATAATAATTTTAATATAAAAACTACTTCTTACCTACAAATCCAAATCAGAATCGAAATCAGAAGATGAACTGTCGCAACCAATATTTACAATGAGTGGCTCGATCATTTCATCAGTAATATTGTCCAACTTCCACATTTTCTCTTCTTCTTTAATCGTATGATTTACTGCCTTTTCCCAGTTTTCAGGCTTTACATTATTTACAGCCTCCAAAAATAACTGTTTAGCATCACTCATTTTAGAAGAATTATTTATTCTTGAAACTTCTCCCTTCATCTGTGCCCATATCCGTTCAAACGGGTTTACTTCGCAATGATATGGTGGTGATCTAACCACCGTCATCCCACGATTTTTTGCAATTTCATATTTTTTTAATTTCTCTTTATGAAGGGAACACAAATGATACAGTTCTTTTCTCACAGAACCAGGATGGAACTTAATATTCTTTAAATTTAGCCAATTCTGTAAATCTTTTTTTAACCACTTGGTTGTGGGCATTTTTTCTATAAGTCTCGAGTGATAACTTGCATTATCCATTACTATTATACAGTTCTGAGGAAGAAGATCTATAATTTGTTCAAACCACTCTTTAAAGACATCAGCATTCATGTCCTCATGGTAGTCACCGATACGAGTAGATTCAAAAGTCAATAAACCACCTTTAACAAAACCGTTTGAACTACCGATGTGTACTATTATTAGTCTGCGCCCCTTTCCTGTTGGTGGATTTAAACCAGTAGATAAATTATTTAAAAAAGCCTGTCTTCGACTTGTAACAGTTTCATCTTGCCAAAATTTATTTTGTTTATGTCCCTCGTTGATCCATGTTTCATCTAAATAAAATATATTTCTTCTTTGGTTTCTCATTTCTTTTATAGTGCTTAGGTAATTTCTTCTCCATACTACAATATCGCTTCTTTCTATTAAAATAGACTTTCTGAAATACTTTTTCCATAGAAAACCTATTTCTTTTAAAAGTTTTCATAGTGTGCTTCGACTCATTTCAAGGTAATCCTTATCATCTCGAACCGTGGCAAGAACTTTGTCTACTGTCGGAAATTCTTTTCTAAAGAAGAACGCATGCACTTTCCTTCGAAGTCTTTCTTTCAAAAGATTTTCTAATTGAAATTTTGTTTTTCCTGGAGCTTTACGTGCTGTTTGAAACTCGCCACATTTCTCTTTTTTAACAACTCTGTAAATCGTAGATTTCCCAACATCAAGCGTACTACTAACTAATTCCACTGTCATCAACACTTTTACATAAATGTTTGTTTGTAAATGATATAAAACAATTAAATATTAATGTTTTTTCATTAACTGTTAAAGGACCGATTTTTTGTCGTTTACGCGGCCCTTCCAAATTTTCCATGATCACACTAGAACTCACACTGCACCTTGCAAGTTGCAACTAAACGACATTTAGTAAACTGTCAAGAATACACAACTTGGACCTCCTTACTAAATGGAAAACCTATAATTGCATTTTCGTTGAAATTTGTTGGGAAGGTATTTATCTACTTATAATTCGATTACTGTAAGAAATTCTTGGAATTAAAATAAAACAAAATTGGCAAATAATCTTAAGATACGGCTATGTAATCTTTAATACACAGGGCTTTTGGCCTGTCCAAACCTTTTTCTATTGTTCTGTACAGCTTATGTTTATAAAGGACCAATAAAAGACCCAAAACTTGTAATAGCTCAGGTACATTTATTACAATTTTAGGAAATATTTAGATTATTCTGTAAAAATATTTAAAATGACCGTACTAAGTTTTGCATTAGAAATGCTGCTTTATTACTCTCTCATACATAAAAATAGACTATAGGCTGAAGCTAGCAGACAAACTAGCAGACAAACCACGCGCGGTCTCTTAATGTTTTGATATTGTTGTTCGGCAAAATTTTTGGTTTAGTATAATGAAAGTTTAAAAATAATTAAAAATTAGTGAATTTATTGAAAAAAATAGATTTATTCAATTTAAATTATTTGTTAAAATAAGATAATCTTGCACAGAGACGGGGACGAAACAAACACATTTACAATGCGATTATAAATATAATTTTTATACCAATTATACATTAGGTTTTTGTTAATTGATTAAACAACAAATTATTGACGAGCAATAAGTTAAAATATATTTTTGTGGTCTTTTTAAAGTCAGGTGTTTTGTTATCAAACAACTATGAGAACAAAGAAACCAAAAAAAAAAACACATTTAGAACGAGATTACAAATAAAATTTTTATACCAATAATTTAGTGCACCACTAGCTATAAAATAAATAAAAAAATATATCAAAATGACCAACAATCAAGGTCATATTTTGGACGAAAACGAAAAACAAAATTTATATGAAAAAACTTGACTAAATGTTTTACTTAGTAACTAACAACAACAGCAAAGTGCATTTCAACAATACGAACAATATCGGTTCGGTGAATCCCCGGTTCCCGGCCTGTTTTTATTGGACAATAACATGGCCTTCTCTAAAATAAGCAGTCAGCTACCAGTCAGCCACTATTTAATAAAAGTAGAGCAGAAAACACATTCAAACAACTAAGTTGTTTAAATAAACTCAGGAGTGTCTAAACTTACTTCTAAAATAAATTGAAATCCAAAAAAATCCATATTTTTTCCCAGAATATACGGAAATTATACGGAATTTCAAAGAGTTAGAAAAAGATACGCTGGCAAGTCAGAATATACGAAAATCGTATATTTATACTCAAATAGGCAATACTGATTGGAAAACTCTGAACTATCTCACGGATAAATATCCTTTTTGTTTTGATAATGAGCAGGACCACGTTTTACTAATTCTTGAATATTATTAGGACGTAATTTCTTTGGCCATAGTGCTGCATCTTTCGAAAGTTGACTCATATTTCCCGTTCTGGTAATTTTTAAAGGTGTTGATTTCTCATTATCAGCGCAACTTGAAGATGTTGATGGATTACTCTCTAGATCAGTTTCTTGTCTGCTGCTGATACTTGTTTCAAGTACAGGTTCAGAATATTAGGATCCACCTGTATTATTGTTGTTATTAATATTTGGCAAAGTAGACTCGGGTTTTAAAAAAAAAATTCGTTTTAAGGTGAAGGGTGAGAAAAAGTCCTTTATATCTCACAAGGAAAGTCAATGTTTAATTGTTTAACAAAACATTGAGTGCGACCGGTTTCGAAGTGTCATCACTTCATCTTCAGGCTCGCCTAGTGGAAAGGAGAATATGTGGTGTAAGGTGTGTTAACTTGGAAACAAAACGATATATAAAATAATAAAAAAGAGAAAACTCATCATATTCTCCATCCACTAGGGAATACTACAAAAACAAGTTTCATCAATTTTGGGTTGAAATAAATTGTAAAATGAACCGATTTACACGTAATAAAAAGTTAAAAATATTTGAAAAAACAAATATTAGTCAATTATAGTAAAAATTTAAAATATTCAAGACTATACAAAAACAAATCACATACATTAAACAGATTAAAAGATAAGGCCTATTTTAAACATTGTTGTTTTTTAAAAAAACTAACATTTTTTGAAAGGAGACCTGTCAAGTTAAGGCCTCTACAGGTGGTGGTAAGTATTATAACGAAAAAATTCTTGGATAAACTTATGACAGGGTATAGTTAATAAGATGTAAACTATGAGTGAAGAATTATTTATTATCTATTATATAAGATTTGGGCCATGAACCAATCACCAAGTGTATGTGATGTTGTAGGAAGAAGAAAGAAGAAGAAGAAATGACTGGGTTAACTGTTGTGAAGCAACTGAAGAATAAGGACTTCCGATTCGGACATCGTCGTGGCAACATTGAAATGGCGATCTCCGAATCGGGAGCCCAGAAGTCCAATAATAAACCACTAAATATCTAGTTTAAAACTGACCATCCGACTTTAATTATAATTCTAAATTCAACCAAATATTCTGTGCCATGAATACAGAAGAATATTTAAACCAAATATCAAGTGCTGTGGAAGAGTGAGGACAGAAGTCCGACGCACGAGGGTGCAGCTTTTCCACATAACAAAATTTGAGATAAAAAATAGTGCTGGGTAAATAATTCGGAAGAGTTGAGCCCATATAAAGTTAAAGAAGAAGAAGAAGAAGAACTGAAGAATAAAAGAAGAAAATGACGCATGTGGATATCAGACAATCTAACCTAATCTTTACACGTGCTCGTTGGTTTCTTATGGGAAAAAATATAAAAAATATAAAAATTACTTACTGAAATGTACCCCTTGCAAGAAGATATGTGAATAGAAATAAAGGGGGGAGGTTAAAAAGGAAGTTAGAACGATAAATTTAGATTAGTGTTGAGAAAACACCACCTACTGGACTCAAATCACGACTTCGATTCAACTGAAGGTTTCGAAATCCTTCATAGTTCCTACAATAGATTTACTCTTAATAGCTTCGAAAACCTCGAGATATTGAGACATTTAAAATTAAATCCTGTTGGTTGCTTAAATGCCCAGATATTGTCAGAAACTCCTCCTGTTTTCTCAACACTAATCTAAATTTATCGTTCTAACTTCCTTTTTAACCTCCCCCCTTTATTTCTATTCACATATCTTCTTGCAAGGGGTACATTTCAGTAAGTAATTTTTATATTTTTTATATTTTTTCCCATAAGAAACCAACGAGCACGTGTAAAGATTAGGTTAGATTGTCTGATATCCACATGCGTCATTTTCTTCTTTTATTCTTCAGTTGCTTCACAACAGTTAACCCAGTCATTTCTTCTTCTTCTTTCTTCTTCCTACAACATCACATACACTTGGTGATTGGTTCATGGCCCAAATCTTATATAATAGATAATAAATAATTCTTCACTCATAGTTTACATCTTATTAACTATACCCTGTCATAAGTTTATCCAAGAATTTTTTCGTTATAATACTTACCACCACCTGTAGAGGCCTTAACTTGACAGGTCTCCTTTCAAAAAATGTTAGTTTTTTTAAAAAACAACAATGTTTAAAATAGGCCTTATCTTTTAATCTGTTTAATGTATGTGATTTGTTTTTGTATAGTCTTGAATATTTTAAATTTTTACTAGAATTGACTAATATTTGTTTTTTCAAATATTTTTAACTTTTTATTACGTGTAAATCGGTTCATTTTACAATTTATTTCAACCCAAAATTGATGAAACTTGTTTTTGTAGTATTCCCTAGTGGATGGAGAGTATGGTGAGTTTTCTCTTTTTTATTATTTTATATATCGTTTTGTTTCCAAGTTAACACACCTTACACCACATATTCTCCTTTCCACTAGGCGAGCCTGAAGATGAAGTGATGACACTTCGAAACCGGTCGCACTCAATGTTTTGTTAAACAATTAAACATTGACTTTCCTTGTGAGATATAAAGGACTTTTTCCCACCCTTCTCCTTAAAATTACCTCAACTCACACATGGCTACCCCCCTTGTCAAAAAATTCGTTATTTTAATATGGTTTTTCAATTCTTCTTTTCTATTTCTTTTATGTAGCAAATTTTGGTGTCTAGACAATTTTTTTTTTCTTTGACATCCTGTATACTGTAAAGAAATTAATACGTTAGTAAACAAATTGACAAATTATTCATGAAAAATTGACATTTTTCGACGTCTCAAACTCGAAAGTATTTCCTCAACATTATTTCTGTATCTGTAACGTGTGCAGGGTGGGTTACCCTACGGCACTTAGGCCTCATTAGGCCCATTATGCATCCTCCTAAGGTGATAGGCACCTCCCAGTTCGTGAGCTAGCCCACAGATTTAATGTAGTTGACAACGTCGCCAAGAGGTGCTTCTCTTATATCGGCCGGTGTTAGCCGATACTCGCCGAACACAAAAGACGGTTACCTTTCGATATGGCGTTACCTTTGATCCATCTTAAGGTGACCACATTGTTGATGAATACTTCGGCCAAAGCTTCGTGACATTCTAGTACTAACCCTGAATAAATTCGTGGTCTGTTCAGAGTGAGTAGTGCTTGTCTGCTATCTGTATAGATGAGCATGTCCCTTCCAGTGATTATTTCTGGTTATTTCTTTTGCTGCTATGAGAATCCCCGTTAGCTATGTTTAAACTACACTGGCACTATTTCTCACAGCCCATTTTATGTTTAGGTTTAAGAATCTGGAGTATATTCCACATCCTGAGCCTGGTTTTGTTTTAGAACCGTCGGTGTAGATATGAATCGTACCTGCCACTTCTGGTTATTTGTTCTATTATAACTTTCAACATTACTTATTTCAAAGTTTATAAATTTTTATAAATAGTAATATTAGTGCTTATCAATTATTCTGTTTGAATTTACTTCAATTAACATTGAGATACAAGTTCTTGGCTTTTAATGTCTTAATAAATCTAAAATAAAAAATAAATTTTAGATGAACTCACCTTAATTCACAACACAAAATACAAGTCTGTAAAACTACAAAAAACTAAAGTTTCAAAAACAGATATCTTTTACCCCATGCACCTTTTCACTTCGCTAAGTTAATTATCGATCAGGCATCTGGCAACAAATGAAATCGCAACCGATGCAGCGCTTAATATATAACATTTCGTACATTGCAAGTTCAGACAGGGAAAAACGTTTGTCCGCTCGTTGGTTCATCGCAAGCCAAATTTCAAGCTTAAACATGAATAAAATCAAATTTGTTTGAGTTTACACAATTCATGTTATCATGTTACGTATTCGATCGAATAAATGGTATAATTGCGTACTCTCATTTGGAAAATATATTATTTTCAAGAAATTACGTTCCTCGTCTCAAAGAGTAAAATAAAATAATAAACAATTTAATAGCTACCAATTTTGTTTTGACAATGTTGTTTGTTGCTATATACCTCTTTTTTACATTTGACTTTGCTCTTATGTACGATGCAGACGTGACTACATGTTGACTAACGGCAGTTTCTAGACAAGTTTTGACTGTATTATGTTTGAACTAATGGCCTTTAAGGCTGTTTAATAAGGGCCATTTGCACCGTCCGTCGTTAAGAACTAAGCGAAGCTTAAAGTAACATTGATAATGAAAAAATGTCAGTTTAAGCTTGCCTTATTTTTTAACGACTACCGCTGCAAATGGACCTTAGAGATTTAAGATGGTTTGTTCTTTGAATTTCCTTAGGTACATTCAGGTCAATTGCATATCAAAAAAATCTAGGGAACAAGAATAAAAATTGTTATAACTTTTTGGAGACACCATATATTACCTTAAAAATTTGTGTGGCTATTGATGATACTAACGGTTGTTTAACACTACTAACAAAAACAAAATTTAACAAGAACAAAAATTATATCAACAATTATAGAAAAAAAAATTAAAATCTCAATAATTTGATGTGCAAGAAATATCACAGAAACAAAATTTTCGATTGTTTGTGCTATATCAATAAGCAGTCTAATCGTCCATTAATTACAGCTCGGCATCTATTGGACATGCTGAAAATGAGATTGTTAATTTCCATTTGCTCTGTAGTATTCCATAGGTCAGAAAGACAATTAAAGAGCTGTTCCCTTGTATCAAACTGCCTTTGTTGACGAAGAAGTCTTCGTCCCATTGAATCCCACAAACGTTTAATGAGATTAAGGTCTGGTGACTGCGCAGGCCATGGCAAAATATTGATATGCTTAGTTTTTAGAAATTCACGCACGAGCCGTGTTGTGTGTGGACGGGCATTGTCGTGCATTAGCTGGAAATTCGGACCAAATTCTGCAGCATATGGAAGCACAACAGGTTTTAAAATACTGTCACGATAACTGGTAGCATTCAAAAAGCCGTCTAATAAAACGAGGTCGGTCCTTACTACGACACGCATACCCCCCCCCCCCCCACACCAATATTGTACCACCCTGGTAGCTGTAGACTTCCTGGGCTGCGGCAAGACGTTCCACGTTTCCAGGTCATCATTTGTCCGTACACCATTCTTGATGCCCCCTGTGTTGATGTTATTATGCCCATCGTAGTCTCTGTGCGCGATTACCTCTTGTTAACAGGGGAATACGGAGCTGTCTGCGAGCATAAAAGTTGAACTGGTGCAACCTGTTTCTCACAGTCTGGCTGCTCACAGCAATATGGTGTGTGCGGTATAACTGATTTGCTAACTGAGCTGCTGTGACAGTTCGATCTCGTAGTCCCTGTAATCGAATAAAACGATCATATAGAGGGTCAGTTACTCTCGTACGACCAGTATGTCATTATCTAACATCCCCGGTATCACAGTATCTTGTCATCAATCGACAAATCACACTAGCTGATGTGTTAAGGACCTCCGCTACTGGTCTATAATTTTGGCCTCCTTCAACCATCCCTACTGTTCGCAATTGTTCGTCGCGGTTTAAATGTCGTCTTTCCATCATGAGCAACTAAACTAAACACTAATTTGAATACCAAAAATCTCGTTTTGTTCTTCGTAGGAGCAAAAACCAAAAGAACCTAATACGCTATTTTTATCGATAAAAGACAAATATTTTTTACGCATATTTTATCAATTGCTAAACCTTCAAAATCATATACATTGTAAACAAAAAGGTATCAAAAATATCTACAGAAATATAAAAGTTATAACAATTTTAATCCTTGTTTCCTAGATTTTTTTTTATGTGTATGCATTTAGGTTTAACTGCATTCTTGGAGAGGATAGTTTTCGATGAACTGCATATTTGTTTTAGTTACCTGTCCACCGGTAGATCCAACATTGCCTATATACTTGCCTGATGAATCATACTGCGGGACATTTTACGAATGCGCAGACGGAAGGGCTTGGAAGTTTGAGTGTGCCCCCGGTACTTACTTTGATACTGAAAAAAATGTGTGTAACTATGATGTAGATTGCGGAAACCGAAGAATGTCTACATTCGTGCCTACATCACCTCAACCGCCTACAACTCCTGAATAGCCTTCATCTCCATCTAAACGATGTACTTTTCGAGTGTCTAGATTATCATCTTGAATATACTATATACATAATTTGATATATTTTTAAAATTTTAATAAATACATTTTTTTAAACTGTTTTATTCTTGTATTATACGTAACCGACAAAATCTCGAGTACGCACATGACGTAGTGTGGTGCGGAATCGCTATTTGTGATGGCAATAAGCAGATTAACATTAATTTTCATGCGCTGATATCCGCACCACAATATATCATCGTAATGTAGTAACAATCTGCGTAATATCATATCTTCCTTTTATAGTTTCATGAGTACTATATTATATTTAACAAATAGTAATGTTATATTAATTGTTTATTGTAACAAGAATTCATTTTTTTGATTCTTACATATTAGTTTTTTATTTATAGTTTTCTTGATGACTAAGATGTAACTTTAATAAAACATTTCAGGCCTTGTTTATGCCTTCTTCAGTACAGTGCATTCGGGTATTTGTGACATAAATTTCTTCTGTTTTCAGAAAAAAACCTGTAAATTTGTTAGCATCTAACCAATCATCTTACTTACCTATTCAATACACATAATGCTTTTATTGAAAAATAAGTATACATTTTTTGGAATTTGATTTTTTTTAAAACAATGTTAGGTGTCACAATTACCCTACAAAAATTCTATTTGCGACACTTTTTGGTTTTAATTATGACCCACCACCAAAATTAACATTTATATCCATAAAGCTTGGTAGTTTTAATTCCAACTTATTTTAATGATCTAAATGTGAAATTAAAAAAATATTTGAAAAGAAAACTTCAATGTTTTATAAAAAAAAATTAGCACTAATTTGGGCATGAAACTAAAAAACATCTGTTATATAACAAAATAGGTATTTGCTCTATAAATAAGAAACAAAATATTTATACCCAAGTACACTAAACTAAAAAACAAGGACAAAATAATAAAAAAAGTTAATAAACATTAAGGTCATCAAATTTCACTGAAAAGAGTTTTTTATTTCGTCTTGTCTCAGTGGGTTTTGGAAGTATAGTATACAGGGTGGCCACTTTTTCATTGAAATGTATTGCTATCTCGTAAACCGTTGGTAACACAAAGTTGGTTAAATGGGGAAAAAGTTGCATATTTCGAAGTCCAATCTGAGGGCGTTTTGAAAACTAAAATATCAGGTCCGGTTTCCGAGATATTCGATAAAAAACAAATAAGTACCATTTCTTTATTCCGCTACAGAACGTTTATTTGGAAAAATAGACAAAAACTCATTTGGAGTTTTTTGTGTTATATCAAATTGTGCGTATGATAGCGTATTTAGTTTTTTTATCCGACGTTTCGTAAATGCAGGACCACCATCAACTTCTTTATTTGAATATGGACCAATATTTTCCTGGCTCATAATTTTAATGCATGTTCAATGTTGAATACAATGATGTAATAACATATTGTGATTAGTCAACATTTCGGAAGATTTGAACATCATCAGGTAAGTTTACAAGTACGGACCTGTGTTTTGTTAGTTAAAAATATTTGAATTAGTAAATGATGTATTATCGTTGTAAGAGATTATAAATAATAAATACCAAAGTCAAACTTTTAACTTTACATCAAGACAACATGTTCGTTTACACATTTGCTAAAAAATATTTTCCATTTTTATGGTTTTTGCACTTGACCAATCCCAATATTAATCTATAAATAAAGTACATCCCGATTTTTAAATACATAAAGTTAGCCTGATTTGTCATATTTTGTTGGATTTTTTAAACTGATATGGTTCCTCATAGTATAAAAAAGAAAAAGTTAACAAACTGCAGATAGATACCTACTTACAATAATAATTGTATATCTAGCAACACGTCTTGATTATTATACAGATAAATTTAAATCAAGTTAACCTGGCATGTCACATTTTATTATTGTATATTTGACAGTCTGGTATCGGATAAAAGCATTGGTATATTTTTAATTAGGGTATTGAAAATATGGTTCGTTACAGTAGAAGTGAGAAAAAAGATATGTACGATGTGTACATAAAATGTAAAAGAAATAGTGGAGAAGCTGCAGAAAGATACCTTCGGTTGTATCCAGGAAGGAGGCAACCATCTTTATTAATTTATTATAGGATAGCGTTAAATATGGCTCACGAAGGAAATATTGAAAAAACACGTGGTAAATATTTAAAACGTAATACAATAAATGAAATAAATGTTTTGTCTCAAGTTTATATCAACCCTGAAACGTCGTCTAGAGCAATAAGCCGAGAATGTGGAGTTTCTGCAAGTACTGTGAAAAACATTCTTAAAAAACATAAGTACCATGATTACAAATTCCAAACTGTACAAAAGCTACATCCTGGAGATTATAATCGTAGAATAGAATTTTGACGTTGGTATAAACGAAAATTAAATAATGATGTATCCTTTCATGGACGAATTTTATAGACAGATGAATCGACATTTACTAATAGTGGAATATTTAATAGAAAAAATAAACATTTTTATGCCACCAACAACCCACATTTAATTCAAGAAGTAAGACCCCAAATTAGATTTTCAATAAACTTATGGTGTGGAATACTCAATAATAAAATAATTGGTCCTATTTTTATTGACGGAAACCTCAACCAACACAACTATTTACAATTGCTAGAAGATATGTTAGATAATCTTCCTTTAGGTGATCGAAGAAATATTTATTTTATGCAAGATGGCTGTGGGCCACATAATGCTGCATTAATCAGAAATTATTTAAACGAAAGATTTCCCAGGAGGTGGTTTGGTACACATGGACCTATTCGATGGCCCTCTAGGTCACCCTGCTTAAATCCTATGGATTATTTTGTATGGGGATATATCAAAAATAAAGTATATTATGATGGTATTCCAAATGACTTAAATCAATTACGAGATAGGATAATTAATGCGTTTAATAATATCACTCCACAAATGGTTTCTGCCAGCATAGCTCAAATGACAGACCGTATTGACTTATGTATTCAAGAAGAAGGAGGACATTTTGAGCAACTACTGTAGTTTTTCTCTTATCGTTAATCATTGTTTTCATTTATTTGTTTCTGACGTGATTAAGTAGTTAAATACATATTTTTTTTTATTAAATTATTTTAAGCATTTAAAATGTAGTTGTGTATTTCAAATAATTTATAATACAGGTCTGTACAAGTAAACGTACCTGATTTCTTACACTGATAATACATCATTTACTAATTCAAATATTTTTAACTAACAAAACACAGGTCCGTACTTGTAAACTCACCTGATGATGTTCAAATCTTCCGAAATGTTGACTAATCACAATATGTTATTACATCATTGTATTCAACATTGAACATGCATTAAAATTATGAGCCAGGAAAATATTGGTCCATATTCAAATAAAGAAGTTGATGGTGGTCCTGCATTTACGAAACGTCGGATAAAAAATCTAAATACGCTATCATACGCACAATTTGATATAAAACAAAAAACTCCAAATGAGTTTTTGTCTATTTTTGCAAATAAACGTTCTGTAGCGGAATAAAGAAATGGTACTTATTTGTTTTTTATCGAATATCTCGGAAACCGGACCTGATATTTTAGTTTTCGGAACGCCCTCAGATTGGACTTTGAAATATGCAACTTTTTCCCCATTTAACCAACTTTGTGTTACCAACGGTTTACGAGATAGCAATACATTTCAATGAAAAAGTGGCCACCCTGTATATAGCATCTTCAGAAATTGGCCAAACAAATACATTATTTCTCTTTTTTCGTAAAAACTTAACCAATAGCGTATCTTCTTCTGCAGAAACTTCCAATATAAGTCCAACATACCTTCTCGTAATTTTGGTTGTTTTATAATCAACTAGGGCCCAGCTACCTTCCTTTACGTCGAGGGTTTTCCAATTCCTTTTCATAATTTAACTCCTCTTGTTCATTTTCTACTAAATGTTTGAGAGTTAGAATGTCATCGGTGTCGCTACTGCTTGATATTTCGTGTTCGATTTCTTCAACTTCAGTTTCTATTTCGCTCTCTGAATCTTGTTCAACAATTTACTTTTTTGTAACATTTTTTTTTCAATGCTCTTTTTCTTCAACTGTAATAAATAATCCTTTCTAGTATCTCGTCGGTATTATTGCTAATATTTTTGAGTTTCTTTATGTCTTTATTTTCTGTTGCAATCTTGTCTATTAGCAGAGATTCAAAAAAGGGAATTATGTCTTTACTAGTACAAGGAGTTAGGCTTTTACTAGTGGAAGGAACCGGTTCCATATCGTCTTCAGAGTCCATTCCTGACCCTATGTTTCTTTCCCCTTCAACTTCAACGTCACGAACTGGTAAAGCCTTCTCTTGAGCATTGTTTGTAATTTGTTCTTTGAAATATTATTAAAGATAGTTTGGTCTGAAGATTGATTATTTAACAACAGTTATATCTACAGGGTTATATGGATTGTTATGATTAAATAAGCCAGTCAACTGAAATGATTTTTTTCAATAATTTCTGTGGAAAATCTGTCCAAATTTTTTCTACTAAAATGGAGAAGTCTGCTTTGGTTAGGGGACGTCCGTAGTATTGTTGCTGCCATACAGTTAACTGTTCATCCTATGATTTTTTAAAAACACCAAACGCGAGCGAATCCAATGGCTGCAGAATATGCGTCGTGTTCAGAGGTAGTTTGAGAAGACAAACGTTTTCCTTAATAGCTAATTCTATTAGATCCAAAGATGAATGACCATTAAAAATAACAAAAAGAGGCCGTTCTTTTGGGCAATGCTTTAAAAAGTGGTTTATAAACCAGTTCAAAAATGCTATTTCCGTCATCCATCCGTCAGGCATCCAAATATCCCATAGGTGTTTCGCAAATGAAGTCATCTTGTCACCATTTGCCGAAATTGTAAATAATATTGAAGTGTTAGTTCTACCAGTACCAGCAGTTTGACGAAATACAGGTTGAATTGTTGCTGATACAACCTTGGTATTTGATGGGTCTGAGCATAA